TCCGACTCCCACAGCTCAGAGGAGGCGAGGTTGATCTAACTCACAGTTTCCCGGCTCCAGGCCACCTCCGCACAGGGAACTCGCAGAAGAGAGCCGCTCCGGGCATGGCGGACAGGAAGCAGAGTCAGGGGAGGAGCCAGAGAGGGAGATAAACCCTTCCAGGCCACGCCCACAGGGGAGTCCCTCTTCCAATAGGCTCTGCCCCTTGCAATAGGCCACACCTCTTCCAGTAGGCCACACCTCTTCGGGAGGCCCCGCCTCCTAGAGAGAGTCAGCGCCCAGCTCCTGTAACCCATCACCTTCCGAAGCCCTGCCGTGGGCGCGTGAGCCCTTGGGGACACAGAGACAGAGGTCAGCCGCGGCACTGCCTGCACCATGCGAGGAAAAGGTCCCCCCAACAGAATTTCCAGCCTCAGAGCCCACGTGGGTGCCGGGGGTGGTGGGCGCAGAAGAGGAAGTAGGCGCGGGTGCTCAGCGGCCCTGGCACCATGGGCCGGGCTCGGTTTCCACAAAGCGGGCCTCACCTGTGTCCCTGCTGAGCTGCGGACCAGCCGGGAGGAGCAGTCAGACGCCACCTGCCGCTGGAGCTGGGACCCAGCCCAAGGAATCCAGAATGTGCTAGAATAGTCTTGTTCTCCACTCTGGAATGCTCTCCTCCCACACAGCACAGCCCCTCCTGCCCCCTTGCCACGCGCTGGCACCCCACCCCCGCGGGACAGTCCGCGAGTGGTTTTGTCCCTTGTGTCGCTTGGGGAGCACTGACAGCTCGCCCTCTGACTGGCTTCCCGCGAACCCTCGCCTGCACTCACCTAGGTGGCTCCTTGTGCTGCTTGCACACACTTTCAGGGGTTCATGATGCTATTTCTGTTTTCCTGGTCCCCTCAAAATACTAACTTTTCAAAGCATATTTAAAACAAAAAACAAAAACAATTTTTGTTGTTGTTTAAATAAATAAGATCCCTTCCAGTTCCACAGTTCCAGCCGTTTCACCGGAAAGTCTCCATTACCACGCAAAGACTCTGAAGCCTCTGGGCTGTGTGCGGGCGTGTGCGTGGCTGTTTTCTCTTTCAGAATCCTGTCCCTGCTAACCGCTAATTTGGGACTGTTTAGGGGCCGATACCGGATCAATAATCAGTCACTTTGGTCCTGGAAGCCCAGCGTTGGCTACTGAGGACCAGCGGGATCTTTCGCGTGCCCTGGTTTATGGTGTCTGAGTCCTGGCGCCCGTGCTAGCGCCCCCAGGGACCATTCCCCAGTTAGGATCCAGCCCGAGTGTATGCCGGCGCACTGGCAGCCACCGTGGGGTATGTGTCTCGGTTCCAGCCAGGCCTCGGGTTGTCCCCTAACTCCAGGGACTTCTGCTGGACACCACGCAGGGAGGGAAAGAGCCGGATGGAAACCGCGGTACCCGCGGGTGTGCTGCAGGGGTGTGCCGTGCACGCGCGTGACCGTGACGGAGTGTAAGAAAACTAGAGGGGAGAGGGAGGAGGTCTCAGGCGGAAGGGAAGGTGCAAGGGACGCAGGGAGGGAAGAAAAGCGGGGTTTAGGGCTGGGGATTTAGCTCAGCAGTATAAGCGCCTGCCTGGCAAGTGTGAGCTCATGAGTTTGATCCCTAGTACCAAAGGGGAAAAAAAACCCAAAACAGTGACGTTTAAAGTCCTTTAAATTTTATATAAAGTTTCCTTTAGTCGTTTTCTTTCTTACTAATTTAAGAAGGCCTTATGCTGACTGTGTAACTCAGGTTGGCCTCGGACTCCCAGCGATCTCCTGCCTCAGCCTCCCCAGTGCCGGGTTACGGGTGTGCACCACCACGCCTGCTGGGTTTCTTCCTTCAAACCGGAGACCTGATGAGGAATCTCCTTCCTGCCCCCAAGCTCAGGAAGAGCAGCCCGCGAGCACAGGCCCTTGGCGCACAGAGGAAACCAGCCTCTCTGTGGCCTTCCGTCCCTCCTGGCATCTGGTTCCGTCCGGTTTTTGTCTCAGGGGAGAGAGAAACCCAGAACCAAAGGCCTCGGTGCCACCAGCTCTCCATGGGCTGTGGGCCGGGTCTCCCCTTCTGCGGTCCCCCAGCGCCCCCTACCGTCCACCCCTGCAAACTGCTGGGCTTGGAATCCTGAACCCCTGTAGACCCCAAAAAGTCTCCCCTCCCTGGTGCCCTGGTCCGCTTCCCTTTGGCAAAAGACCCCTCTCTGCTCCTCTTAGCTGTCTTTTATTTTGCGGTGGAATTTGTTTGTATTTGGGGTTTCTCATGTGACAGAGACCATTTGAGGTTGAAGCCAATTCGTCTGATTTATTTCACTTAACATTTTCAGGGGGATGATTTGATAATAAAGTCACGGTATTAATTCAGCTAAAAAATTGTTGCAATGTATGAAGCAAAGCCCATGCGCTGATGCACACCTGTCATCCCAGAACCCTGGGAGGCTGAGGCAGGAGGATTGCACATTGAAGCCCAGCCAGGTAATTTAGTGACTTAATGAGACCCCGTCTCAAAAAAAAATTTTTTTTTTTAAATTTTAAAAGGCTAGGGTCATAGCTCAGTATTAAGGCCCTTGTTCAGTCTCTGGTACAGGACAGGAAAAAAAGATGAAGTGAATTGCAGACGTTGGAGGTCACCCCCTCCTGGGACCCCTGGGTCCTGGAGCCATGTATTACAGTCAGAAATCGCATGGGGTGGCTCTCCTATGCGGGGTGGGGTGGTGACAGCATGGCGGGCTCTGGCTTTTGTCCCCTACTCCTGCCCTCTGCTCTCCACATCCCTGCTGTGACTGTGCCAGACTGGCCTTGAACTCATGGCGATCCTCCTGCCTCAGCCTCCTGCATGCTGGCTGGGATTGTAGATGTGCACCACCACGCGTGAGTCTGTGCTAGCAAATCCTAACTCAGGGATAATTTTTGGTCTGTGCAGGTAGCTGCTACAGGACCCTGCTGAGCCAGCATCGGGCACACCATGTAAATACGTCTCTGCCACACAGCAGCCAGACAAGTGGAGGGTTTTCCCCGGCCGCTTTACTGTCCTGACCTCAGGGATTTTTTTTTCAGATTCTACTTTTTGCATCTGTGGTCACTAAACATGAACCAAAGCTTCTGCCCGGCCTGAGCTGCCTGCCGGGTTTCACTCCAGCATCTGATGTAACATAATGAGCCTGTTCCTCAGAGAAACAAAAATATAAAATAATGCACTGGGAGGCTGAGGCAGGAGGATTGTGGCAAGTTCAAGACCAGCCTGGGCTACAAAGTGAGCTGTAGGCCAGCCTGAACTGCATAGCGAGACCTTTTCTCAAAAAAGACAAAAAAATTTTAAAAATAAAATATAAAATACTGTTCTGATTTTTCAGTAAGCAGCCCTCTTACCCTCGTAGAGAAACGGTACTCGAGTGTGCACGCACACAGGTGCGGGTGGGAAGACACTGGGGAAAGAGCAGAGAAAGGAAAAGGCTGGAGGGGCTGGGGACAAAGGCCCACCAGCTCCGGGGAGGTCCGGGTGGCAATTCCTCGGGAAGCAACCCTGGGAATTCCATCCCCAGCCGTTCCTCTCCTCCGAAGAGTTAAGGTCACTACATCCTGTGATGGGGTCATTCCCGTGTTTAGAGCAGCACAACTCATAAAACCCAAAGCTTGAGCTGGGGATCTAGCTCAGTAGCGTAAGTGCCTGCCTAGCAAGTGCAAGGTTGTGAGTTTGATCCCCGGTACCACACACACACAAAAAGAAAAGAAAGAAAAGCCAAATCTTGCTGGGTATGGCAGGATAAACCTGTCATCCCAGCATTTGGAGGCTGAGGCAGGAAGATCACCATGAGTTCAAGGCCCGCCTGTACTATGTAATGATTCCCTGTCTCAAACAAACAAGCAAGAAAAAAAAATCCCTAAACCAAGAATGACACAGGATCTGTATGCTCAGCTACTAGGGAGGCTGAGGCAGGAAGATCGCTTGAGCCCGGGAGTTTGAGGCCAAATGAGGCAATAGAGAGACCCTGTCTCAAAACAAAAATAAATCCACAAGTGAGAAAAAAAAGAGTCCCCAAGGACAACAGTTCCCGTTTTCCCCAGCCTGCAAGTCGGGACACCTTCTCCCTCAAATCTGGGCCGTTAGGCATGGCTGCCCCGGGCCCCCTGGGAAAGTCAGGTGAATGACTCGGGACAGTGTCCTGCAGGGACAATTCGTCCAGGACACACTGCCAAGTCCAAAAGTGAAGGCCGGAAAGCGTCTGCACAATCCGCTCCGCTAGGGGCCAAAATTCAAAGGAAAACACTGGGAAACGGGCCGTCTTCCCCTTGCCAACCCGAGTCCTGGTGGTACCAGGAAGCACAGCCCTTTACAGGGCTGGTCCTTTTTATGTTCTTTGGTTTGATTTTTTATTCTGGGGTCTCCCTGTGTAGCCCAGGCTGGCCCTGAACTCCAGGGATCCTCCTCCTCAGCCTCCTGCATGCTAGGGATGACAGAAGAGCAGTGCTCAGCCCGGCTCCACCCTGAGTCTCAGGGACGCTGAGCTTCCGAGGCAGGAAAGCTGGGAGAGGACCCACCCCAGAGATCCTTCAGAGCTCGCCCACCCAGACTGGCCTCCGGTATGACAGAGACACAGAGGACTCCAGAGACAGCAGAATTCTGCTTCATCTTATCCCTCAGCCTCGGGCCCAAGGCAGGCAAGGTCACAGAAGCTGAAAACCCGAGTGACGGGGCTCACCCTGCCCCGCTCTGTGGGCTGCGTGCGGCGGCCGAGCTCTCATACACGGGGAGGACTGGCCACGTGCAGGCAGGGGGATGTGAGTCCCAGAGCCGCTCACAGTGACCCAGCAAAGAGCACCGTCTACCCCGATGCTCAACCCGACCGCATGAACCCAGCACTCGGCATTTCGGGTCGCCTGGGTGGCGCAGGCCTGTCATCCCAGCACTGGGAAGACTGAGGCAGTCTGAGGCCAGCCTGGGCGACATGGCACTCAGAGTCGATGTGCACAGTGAGGGACCTGAGACTTGGCCGTACAAACAGTGCAATTAAAAATCAGTGTCTTAGTGTTCATTTATTAATTAATAAATCATTAGGATTTGGGTCTATGATCATCATAAACTAAATTTTATAAATGCTCATGTGATTTTTAAAAAATTACACAGCTGGGTGTGGAGTGCACCCTGTTACACCGCACTCAGGAGGCTGAGGCAGGAGGATCACCGTGGGTTAGAGGCCAGCCTGGGCCACACAGTGAGTTCAAGGCCAGCCTTGAAGACAGCCTACCTTAAAAAACAAGATTACACAGTTCCTCCTCTGGAAATGAAATTACACAACGTCTCTCCCTGATTTTACTTTGTAAAAAGTGTGCTGAATGACAGCACTCATTCAGAGCCCTTCCTTGGATCATTCACAGACAGAAAACAGCAATTCAGGCTCCGCACAAAAATAGAACCTGGGGCCGGATTTAGCTCAGCAGCATAAGCGCCTGCCTTGCGAGCGCGAAGTCCTGAGTTCGATCCCCGGTACAAAAAAACAAAACTAGAACCTGCCCGTCTCTGTGACACCCGTCTCTGCCCGGGAACGTTAGCACGAAGGGTCTGCTTAGGGAAGTGTGAAATATAACCATGTTGCCAAGAACAGTCTACGTTCTCTGGGAAACTGAACCCGTGTAAAAACTATGAAAAATTCTTAATGAGACTCAGTCAGAGCCGTGACACAGAAGCCACTCTGGGCGACAGACACCGGGACGCCGTCTCTCCAGGCTGCGTGGAGCCTCCCTCAGAGGTCGCCGTTGATCTCTGTGGATATCCTCAGCGTCACGTTCTAGGAGTGGAAGGGTTCACGGTTAGCGAGGCATGTCACACACAGGGAACTCCACAAAACACATCAGTGCGAGGCACTGCAAATGCACACTCGTAAGACAATCATCGTGCGGTGCAGGTGAGGTGGCACACGCCCAAAACCCTAGCACTCGAGGCTGAGGCAGGAGGATCTCAGCAAGACTGAAGACAGCCTGAGCAACACAGGGCATTAAGAGCCTTGGGAACATTTTTAATTTCCTATTTCCCTTTTTTTAAAAAAACAGGCTCTCACCCTGCAGCTCAGGCTGGCCTTGAGCTCACTTTGTAGCCCAGGCTGGTCTCAAACTCACAGTGATCCTCCTGCCTCAGCCTCCCGAGTGCTGGGATGACAGATGTGAGCCACCACGCCTGGCTCATTTCTCAACATGTAGCTTTCAGCATCAAAGCGGGAGACCACAGGAAACCCATCCACTGGGGCGTGAAAGACAAAGCCACTGAGCCACACAGTACCGACGCATTTCCAAAGACGCCCCAAGCCAGTGTCCCAGGTCTCCCTGGCCCCGGCACCGGGCGCCCACCTGGAAATCCTGGATGAAGGTCAGGAAGTAGAAGATGAAGCCGAAGGCCACGGTCCACTCACACACGGCGCTCACCACGTGGTACACGTAGTCCTGGTGGCAGCAGAGACAAGGACTCAGCCCACAGAGAGCAGTGACACCAGCGACCCGGGGAAAAGTCGCCAGGCGCAGAGACCCTGGAAACCCCAGGAAGCCGAGGCTGTGAACATACAGGGCCCGGGCTGGGGTGCAGGGGAGCTGAGCCCGGAGCGGCCTGCAGCCCTCACCCCGGCTCTGGGGCTGCACCTGGTGACTTCCAAAGGCAGCACGAGGACCCCAGGCAGGTCGGGCTGGGAGCTCAGAGACAAGGCTTTCCCGGCCGGATGTGGTGGTACACCCCTGTACCCCGGCCTGGGGAGGCTGAGGCAGGAGGGTCCCAGCCAGTGCGAGGCCAGCTGGGCTAACAGTGAGCCCCTGTCCTGGAGTGAGGGAAGGAAGCGGGGGGGGGGGGGGACCCCGTGCCACGGGCAGGACTCGGGTCGTACACGGGGAGGAGGCAGCCCCGCCACGGCCACCACGACTGCGACTGCGGGTGTCGAAAGCTTTCACTTCTCAGCTTCTCACGCCTCAGCGGGGAGTTCCCGGGTGTGGTCCCCCACTTCCCAGGGCGCAGTGCTGCCCCAAGGCTCTGCCCAATTTGTGGGATGAGGGCGCCCAGCAGCTGAGGCAGGAAGGACTCTGGGCTTTGGGGGAGCAGGAGGAAACTTGCCCTTGGGAGAGGAGCGTCTGTCCCACAGCCTTGCAGTGACCCTCCTGCCTCAGCCTCTGAGTGGTGGGATGACAGGCGGGCACCTACCCTGTGTCTGGCTTCAAAGTGCTGCCTTTGGCAGGGACAGCTGGCTGTGGGCCCCACCAACACCCAGACTTGCCCGAGGTCCCCACCGCCTTCTCCCCAGCACCCCTGAAGCCTTCTGGTGGTGAGGACATTGTCGTGAAGGCACCAGGCTGCTCCACTTCACCTTTCTGTGGCCTGGGGTGGGGACACAGCTCCCTGGGGGACTTCCTGCTGCGGTGTCCCCCTCTGTTCCCTCCTAGGGGTCACCCACCCTTCGCTGCCACCTAGGCATCCATCTGGGAAACCCTCGGTTCCTGTCAAGCTTCCGGTCTGCTGTCCTGGGAGGAAATTCCCTGGTTTATCTGAGATAAAGACTCAGAGTTCCTGGGCATGACCATGGGTGCCTGGCATCGCAGCACTCTGGGAGGCTGAGGCAGGAGAGTCTCCGGTTCCCACCCAGCTGGGGCAACCTAGTGACTTCAGAAGAGCCTGCTCCGAGCACAGAGGTCCCAGGTTCAAACTCTTACTGAGCAAGGAAGGGACTCAGACTTTGGAAATCTGCCCGGGATACAGTGGCACCCAGGCTACTGCTAACTGGGGACAGCCAGGGCACCCAGGAGGAGTCGCCCGCACTGATGCCACATCTTTGTCACCCTGCATGTACCAGAGGAGGCCAAGCCCTGCGGCCCAGGCCTCCTGAAAATGGACACCTGGTCTAGCTGCTTTAGCCCTGCCAAAGAAAACCCCCAAGAGCACTAGTCCCCCCATTCCCCTCAGCGCTGGCCAATTCCATGCCATGTCCACCCTGTCCCCAGCGGTGACGGACCCCTCCTCCCAGGACTCGCCCAGCCCCGGCTCAGCGGTGACGCTGGGACAGTGCCAGTGTCACCTTCTCTTTGGGGTTCCATTCCAGCTTGGTTATAGAGATCAGGGAAGCACAGGCGATCACTGGGGAAACCGTCAAGGAAACCAGCAGAAACCGGCCTCTGAAGTCGGCGCTGAGATGCTTGGTTTGGTTTTTCTGTTTGAGGCAGGATCTCTAGCGGAGGGAGCCCGGGCTGGTCTGGAATTTGAGATCCTCCTGCCTCAGCCTCCCAAATTCTAGGATTAAGGGAGAGGCACCCCATCGCTGGCTGCAGTGTTAATAATGATAATAACGATGTTTCTGTCATCAAAGCAGCCACAGTCCCTTCTGCTAACCGCACCTGCCACAGGGTGGACTGCACCAGAAATGGCCGCTTCCATCCAGTCTGCCTGGCCACACACGGGTAACCTGTCCCTCGGGCCTCATTCTGCCTGGCCTGAGTGTTTCCGGGGTCCTCACTTGAGCCGGCTGTGCTGGAGGAAGTGGTACCCAGGATGCATCCTGAACAACTGAGTAAAAAGCACCCTCCCCTCAGTGCTGTGCTGGGATCCAGGCCACACCACGGCCCAATCTGAAGGAGGAGGGGTATGTGGAGCTCCCAACCCAGGGAGCTCAGGTCACAGGGACCGGGCCGGCCCCAGGTCTGGGGAGAACCCGATCCATGTACCAGGCCACCCGACCCTGCAGGGGCTGAGGTCACCCGGGCACTGCCATCTGCATGTTGGTGGTGAAGGAGAGAAATCTGGGGAGAAGCTGGAGGCTCTCAGATCTACAAACAATTAGGAATTCAAGGCCAGTAATGATGGTGCACACCTAGATTCCCAGCATTTGGGAGGCTGAGGCAGGAGGATCTCGGCGAGTTTGAGGCCAGCCTGGGCTACACAATGAGACCTTGCAGGAAACAGAGAGACAGAGAGAGACACAGAGACAGAGACTCACAGTGCTGAGCCAATGGAAGCCCGTCTCTGAATCCCTGCTCTGCGCGGCTGAAGTCTTCAGCATCTCAACGCAAAAGAAGAAAACTCAGAAGGCCCAGCGACATCTCACTACATGCTCAGGGCACCGTGTGCAGTGACCCACACCTGTAATTCTAGCCACACAGGAGGCTGAGGCAGGGGGTCTCCAAGGTCAAGGCCAGTCTCACATCCTCTTAAGGTCTTATTTTGAAATAGAAAAATAAAAAGGGCAGGGAGTGTAGCCCAGCAGTGTCTGGGATCCATCACTGTGATTTTTAAAGTAAATGAATAGGGGCTGGGGATTTAGCTCGGCAGTATAAGCACCTGCCTCGAAAGTGCACGGTCTGAGTTCGATCCCTGGTACCAATAAAAAAAAATAAAGTAAATAAATAAGAACCACACGTGGTGGTGCATGCCTGTAATCCCAGCACTCGGGAGGCTGAGGCAGGGAACTGCTGTGAGTTTGAGGTGAGCCCAGGCTACACAGTGAGCTGTGAGTTCAAGGCCAGCCTGAACTGCAGAGAGAAACCCTGCACCCCACACAATAAAAAGCCCATTTCTGTGAAATGTCACCAGCGACCCCCAAGGGTGTCTGAAAGATGCTTTTAGTCCTTAGCAGGGAGACTCGGGGCCAGGCTGCAGCTCGGGGCTGAGACTTTGCTGCGGAGGAGGCCACTCAAGTTACTCCACACAGTGCGTCTGAGAACTATTTACTAGGATGGGCAACTGGGGGCCTGCAATGCTCACTGCACTGTCACTGCCTGGCTTTAACCCTGAGGGCTCTGTGCCTAAGGGCTGCGCGCGAGCAGAGACAGAGACCTGTTTTCACTGCCACGAACACCTGCTGCACGCCGCAAACTAACACACATGTACGTCCACAGACACAGACACACTCACACACACACACACACACACACACACACACACACACACACACACACAGTGCTCCCGAGGGTCTCTGTACTACCCTCAGCCCTGGTCCTTTTCATTTTGAGATAGGATTTCACTAAATTGCCAGGTGGGACTCAAACTTGTGATCCTCCCGCCTCAGCCTTCAAAGTCACTGAGAAGAAAGTCTGTTTTCGGCCCATACACAGGGCGAGGAAAGGGAGAAGGGACGGGCTTAGGAACAGGGCGGGTACTCTGTGGTAAGTTTCGGGTACTTTCTTAGTTTCTCAATGCTTAGGGAATTTGTAATCAACACTTTCCTTCCCTGAGACTGAAAATCGCATTTCCCCTGTGCAATTAGTAAAGCCGGGCCTGGTGGCTGACACCTTAATCCCTCCTGGAGGCTGAGGCAGGCGAGTCTCGAGTTCGAGCCCAGTGTGAGCAACTTAGTGACTCAGTGAGCCCCTGTCTCCTAGAAACTCTAGAAGAGCTGGGGGAGGCTGAGGCAGGAGGATCACCGTGAGTTCACTCTCTGTGCTGGGCCTCCGCCCAGGCTCCCCCACATGGAGCAGGTTCCCCTGGAAAGGCAAAGCCCTGGGAGCCCAGCCCCGAACACAGCCAGGGCTTTAGGACACTTTCCTGGGGACCAGTGGGCCACATGGCCCATGGCCCCACCAGAGCAGAGAGGACTCGGGGCATCCTGGCCGCAGCCCTGAGTGCAGTATCAATATTTGGCATCTTCAGTCAAGCACTTCACGGAAAAATAAATATTGTCACAGTGCAGTGGCCACGGGGCGGAAGTCAGCAGAGCTCAAGGGTGCTACACCCCGTCCCTCTGGGTCCCTCTGGGCTGAGTCCCTTCTCCCTGACCTTCCACCCATCCCAGCATGGGGACTGACTCTTATCCACCCAGCATGGTGGTGCACACCAGTCATCCCAGCCCCTCAGGAGGCTGAGGCAGGAGGATCAGCTCTGTCTCAAAGTTGAAAGGGCCCAGGGGTGTGGCTCAGTGGTATAGATGTAGCCTCTGGGTTTGATCCCCAGCACCAGGAGACAAGGAGAAAAGGAAGGAGGAGGAAGAGGAAAATCCGAGCCAGCCTGGACCACACAGAGAGCCCTGCTGGAGCCTCTTTCCGCACCCGATCAGCTCCTGCTCACCACGTCCCCATGACACCTCCAGCCCGCCCCGCCCGGCCCCACAGGACTCTCTGCGCCCTGTCCCTGCCACTCCATGGGGACAAATCCTTCACCACCCTGAGCACAGTGACCAACAACAAAGGATACTGGGCACGACGGCTGCGCAGGACACGGCAGAGATGGCCATGCGCGTGTGGCAGGTGGACAGGCTGTTCCAGCGGGGATGGGACTTGTAGGAGATGACCGACTGCAGGAGCGTGTAGACCACGCCGCACACGAAGGCCAGCAGTGCGCCCCCGTCATGGACCACCGGCACGGCCAGCTCCTGGGGACAGAAGTGCAGGCGTGTCACCGCCCACCACGGCCACCACAGGCCCCTCCGGGGACGCAACCCTTGCTGCAAAACTTGGGAGGCTGAGGCAGGAGGACCGCGTGAGTCAGAGGCCAGCCCGGGCCACAAAGTGGTTTGGAGTCAGCCTGAATGACATAGAGAGAGCTTGTCTCAAAAAAAAAAAAAAAAAAAAAAAAAAAAAAAAAAAAAACCGAAAAACTTTCTTGATAATTTACTTTTCTCTGATTTGTTTAGTTTTCAAGGCAAGATTTCACTGTGCAATTCCAGCTGGCCTCGGATGGCGATCCTCCTGCCTCAGCCTCCTGAATGCTGAAATTACAAGCTTGTACCACCAGCTTTCCTGTTGACTTAAGACAGTGCAACACAAAGCACACTAGACTACTGCGAGGTTAAATCTAGAAAGGCTTTTTCATAAAAGATATATCTGTCTTTTTTAAATTCTATGTTTCATTAGCAAATATATGCATATGGGATTATATACGTGCATGGGATTTTGTCTGCATTTGACGTATGTCTCCCTAGTGAGAGATTTGCTCAAATGAGTTAAACTCCGAACCTCACCTGTTTACCCTCTTTTTTCTCTGTTTAGAAATTGTTTTCTTTTTTGAGACAGGCCTCACTTTGTAGCCCAGGCTGGCCTTGAAGTCACGGAAATCCTCCCGTCTCAGCCTCCTCAGCCTGCCCTGTTTTAGTAACTCCAACCTCTGCAGCGTATTAGCACAGCCACAGATCTCCAGGACTCACTGCCCGTCTGAAAGGCCACCCTCCTGGCCCGGCGCCCAGCCTGGGTAGCCACTGGCCACTGCTGCTCTGACCTCTCCAGCCTCGAGTCCCTGCTGTCTGGGCTGCTTGCCTTCCTGTGACTGATTTATTTTCTTTAACATAAAGTCCTGTCTTGTCTCAAGGGACAGAATTTCAAAAGAGGGTAATTCTGTTTCTCTGCAGCAGATGGCACACATGCATTCTACTTACTTTTGTTACAAATAACACATTTTAAGAGCTTATTGTAATTAACTTGAGTAGATTTTTATTTCAAACATAAACTCAACTGTTAAAGTTATACATAAGGAACCCAATTTTAATGACAAAGATCTTTTCAAAAAAATAGTTCACGCTATACTAGATGAATGAGGAAAGAAAACTCAAGCTCTTTTCCACGTTATACTGAAGGCCAGGTGAGGTGACGCACGCCTGTATCCCAGCACTGGGAGGCTGAGGCAGGACAGCCTCATTCTGGGTCAGCCTCGGACACACAGTGACTTCAAGGTCAGCCTGGACTACAGTGTGAGACCCTGTCTCAGAAACAAACAACCCAGAAACATAAGGTAGAGGCACAAACTTCCTCTAATGCATGTGATCATTTTTTTTTTTTTGATACCTGGCATCAAACTCACGACCTTGCACTTGCCAGGCAGGCGCTGTGCCACTGAGCTAAATTCCAGGCATGAATGTGACCATTAGATAAAATGTACCAATAAAAATAATTTTTAAAAAACCCAAACAAATAACTACATTCAGAACATCAGAAACCAGGCGTGGTGCTGTGTGCCTGAGATCCAAACACTCAGGAGGCTGAGGCATGAGCTCAGGTCTGTCTGAACTACATAATGAAACCTGGTCTCAAACAAAAGAAAAAAGACGGGGCTTGAGAGCGAGCCTGGACTGCTGAAACTCTGCATTATTGGCATGGAAATTAGGGGGTTAAAGAAATGAAAAGAAACAGACTGCAAGTATGTCAGTCCAACCTGACCTGAACGTGGGCTCTGCACCGAGCCGGGTCCCCAGTTCTTTTTTACTCTGAAACAGTCTTGCTAGATCACTAAGCTGCCCAGGCTGGGCTTGAACTTGCGATCCTCCTGCCTCAGCCTCCCGGAGAGCTGGGATTCCAGGCTTTTTGCCTTCACTCGGCTCCCCAGGGTGGAGCTGCGAGCCCCTGGGCCCACACCAGAGCTGCACCCCGCAGAGCTCAAGGACCACTTTATCTGACGCAGGAAACCCAGGGGGGCAAGAGCGGCTCCAGCCTCAGCCCTGGGTCACCGCACACAGCCCTGTGGGTCGCTTTGAAGACACCCGTTACAATGCCGCGGGAAACGGCCGGGATATTTTCATGAATTTGCAGGCCTGTCACTCGGGAGGCTGAGGCAGGAGCATCGCTGTGAGTTCGAGACCAGCCTGGGCTACATAGTGGGCTCAAGGGCAGCCTGCACTGCACAGAGAGACCCTGTCTAAAAAAAGAAAAAACCAAACAAACAAAAGTAAGTCGTGAAGAGCAGTCCGCCCGGCCCCCTCACCCCACACCCTTGCCCGGCCGCGCCCACCTGGAAGTTGGCCACGATGCCCATCCCGACGCAGCCCGCCAGGCCGAGGCCCAGAGACACGGCGTTGAGCAGCTGCGTCCCGCGCGGGCCGAGCTGGCTCTGCTTCTGCACGATCTTGTAGCGCGTGTACATCGTGGCAGCGCCTGTGGGAGCACAAGCAAGTGGGGGCTCCGCCCCTCACCGAGAAGGAAGGCGGGGGCGGGGTGCTCGCCCGTGACCCCAGGCGGGGAGGCTGAGGCGCGATGATCCCAGCGTCAAACCCAGCCTGGGCACGTTAGCAACTTAGTGAGACCCTGGCTCAAAATAAAAAGAATAAGAAAAGCTGTGGTTATAGCTCAGTGCAAAGGCCCTGGGCTCAAACCCTAATATGGGAGGGGTGTAAACCGGGCCTGGTGGTGTACACCTGTAATCCCAGCATTTGGGAGGCTGAGGCAGGAGGATCATGGTGAGTTTGAGGTCAGCCTGAAATACAGACCAGACCTGTCTTTAAAAAAAAGACTAAAATCCTCTTGAAAGGTTTAGGGTTTAGAAAGCCCTTCGTCCTTTCCTTCCTTGAGTGTGTCCTGTGTCTCCAGGTCTAATAAACCTTCTTGTGTCTTTTTAAAAAATAAAAACACCTCTACCAGACCCGGGGTCCGACAGCCAGATGAAGTGGAGACTCGGTGAACACACACACTGGAGAACCAAGCCACACACGGTTCTGGAGGCCCAAAGACTCCAGATTTCCAAGACTGGCAAATTTCTAGTGGTGAACGTTGTATTAAAACAAACAAACAAAAAAAAAAAAATGAAAAAACAACAGAAAAACCAACCAGGCCTGGCGGCCCGTAACCTCAGCTACTCAGGAGGCCTAGGCAGGAGGGTTGCAAGTTCAAGGTCAGTCCGGGCAACTGAAAGGAACCTTGTCTCAAATAAAAACCAAAACGGTCGATCAGGAGCTCGGTGCCCACCCTGGGCCTGTGAGGACAGACAGCAACAGCAAATACCGTCCTTCAGTCACCGGAGCGCTGAGATTTTGCACACAGTGATACCTACCGAGAAACGCAGAGAAGTTTATCATGAGACCAAAAATACCGCTTTCTGGAGGGGTCGTTCCTGTATCACTGAGAGAGAGAAGAAAAGTTGTAATTATTATCAAAGAATTGAGGGCGAGTGTGGAGCGCAGGTCTGTAACCCCAGCACTCACTTGGGAGGCTGAGGCAGGAAGATCATTGCAAGTTTGAGACCAGCCTGGGCTACAGACTGAGCTCAAGGCCAGCCTGAACTGCATAGAGAGACCCTGCCTCAAACAGACAGGAAAAAACAAAACAAAACTTCAGAAAGCTTGGTGCCCAACCAAGCTGTGATAATGTTTCCAACACACTGCAAGTGATCACCTTCTGTTTACCAAGCAATTTTTGCGGCGCAGTGACTCAAATCACAATAAAACAAAAAGGTCTCAACATTTGGGAGGCTGAGGCGGGAGTATCTCAAGTTGAAGCCCACCCTGGGCAACTGAGCAAGACCCTGTCTCAAAATAAAAAATAAATCGCTGGGAGGTAGCTCTCCGGGTTCAATTCTCAGCACCGCAAAAAGTAAAAATAAGAAAAGAAAGCAGACTCGAGCAGCTCTTCAGCACTCCGCTTCTGCTAGGAACACACCGGGAAGGGCTCGGCAGGTCCTAAGGAAAGCACTGAGCATGCGGCCTAGAGACGCAGGACACCGTGAGGAGTACCTCGCCCTGGTCCCAAAGACATGGAGGCCACAGCAGCCGTGACACCCACAATTCCCCCTGTAGCCCAGGCTGGCCTCACACTCACGGAGATCCTCCTGCCTCAGCCTGCCGGGTGCTGGACTGTGACAGACACCGACAGAAACCTTTTTAACCACAGGTTTTAAAATCAACTCCTCCCCATCCCCACACGCCCATCCTGTGACACCACGGCTCAGAGACACCCTGCAGCCACACTGCCGCGGCCCAGCGTCACCTGGCGTCCCAGCAGTCCTGACTCCCTGGTGCCTGAGGCACCTCCCTCCCCGAAACCGGGGCCTCCGTCCTCACAGTCACAAAGGCGGCGTCCAGGCCCAGGCCCACTGCCCGGAAGACTGTCCCTTTCAGTTTTGCTTTCTCTGAAGTGGAAGGAAATCTCAAAGCCACTTTGAAAACAAGTCCAGGGCAGAATCCTTCTATTTTTAAAACCAGTCTGCCTAAGTCTGTTTCTACTGTTCCTGTTTTGGTTTGTGACCCAGGGTTTCCCTGTGTAGCCCAGGCTGGCCTTGAACTCTTCTTCAGGGCTCCTCCTGTCTCAGCCTCCAGGGTGCTGAGCCTACAAATCGAGCACCACCATGCCCAGCAGTTTTCTTAAATCTTTACGGCTGTCAGATCCCCTAGTAACCACAAGTGGTTTCTTTTGACTCTTTCTCAAATAGTCAGCTGGGCTGTTTTAGAAATTACAATTCTCTCTGCTTGGATGGATCATCAGCTGACTGTTAAATCGCACAATCACAATAAAAATGGCAATATAATAGTAGCCCTGTGGTGGCACATGCCTGTCATCCCAGCACTCAGGAGGCTGAGGCAGGAGGAGCCCCACAAGTTCAGGGCCAGCCTGGGCTACATAGCCCTGTCTCAAAAAAACAAGGAAGATGGGAAAAAACTAACAAGAGCCCGGGAGCAGGGAGCACACATAATCTCAGCCCTCTAGGAGGCTGAGGCAGGAGGATGCAAGCTTGAGTCCAGCTTGGGGAATTCAGCAGTTTAGGGACCCCTGTCTCAAAATTAAGAAAATAAATAAAAACAAAGGAAATAATACAAATAAAAAACGCTGGGGATGTAGCCCAGTGCGAAGGTCCTGAATTCAATCCCCAGCACCACCACCTCAAAAGAAAAATACAACTTCCAAGTCGTTTCATGTTCATGTCTTAGCACACACTTGTGAGTATAAATTACATTTTGTGACTGTGAAGTAAATGGAAATTAAAGTATTAATCTCCCTGATTTTCAGTTTCACTTCTGAAATGAAAGACCTGATCCAACCTTCTGTGTCTCAGCCACCACGCGGTGAGAAGCCGCAGAACCGAGCGGATGCAAACCACAGCAGTGTGGAGATTCTGCGCAGCAGCGCTAAGACCCCCTGCCCGCTGCTCCCCGGGAATCTGCCTGCAGGGGGAGGACCTGGAGTCACAGCGGTGCCCGCACAGCACAGGGCACGGCTGACGGTGGCTGAGTCCCGGGGGGCCCGTGTGCCCCCCGCCGAGGGACGGTAAAGAAGGCGCGGTGGTCATGCACCGTGGAGTACTACTGTGCCATGAAGGAGGACAAACGGAAGCCATCAGCAGGGCAAGGTGCGCCTTAAGGCGGCGGTGCTCAGCAAATCAGAGAGGACAGTGCTCCAGGGTCACCTGTTTCCCTCACACAGAGACCGAGTTACAAACAGCGCAGTAAAAGGCAGATGGGGGGGGACAAAGGCAGGCTCCCCAGGGGGAGGAGCGAGGAGCAGGACCCCCACTAATGTCCCGGGCTGGGCAATGGGGCTGTGGGCGTGGCTGGGGAAATGACGCGTGTGGGCGTGGCCAGGGAATGCTGTGATGTGGGCGTGGCCTGGGCCTTTGCTCCGCCCCCGGCCTTGACAGCTGCGCTTCGGCTTCCCTAACGCGGCTGCCTCGCTGTCCCGGACCAGTTTGCTGGCCTTGCACGGAGTTCGAATCTCCTGTTTTACATTTTTTGATAGAAAATTCACACAAGCAGCTAAAATAAATGAATACAGACAAAGCCAGGTGTGGGGATCCCAGCACTCTGGGAGGCTGAGGCAGGAGGATCACAAGTTCCGGCCCGGCCTGGGCAAGTGAGTTCTTAGCGAGCTGCTGCTCAAAACCAACACGGCAGAGGCCGAGGCGGGCGGCAGGGTGCAGTCCTCCGTGCGCCGAAAGCAAAAGCAAAATCAAATCAACACCAACTCTGGGCTGGGGTGCGGTGTGGCAGCAGAACTCCCCAGCATGCCCAGGGCCCGAGTTCCACCCCAGCTCCCCGAAAAATCAGCATAAGCAGCGCTGTAAGCGACCAAGCCCCTGGCTCGGTCTTCCCGGGGCACCAGAACCACCGAGGTAATTTCTAAGAGTGGCTGTAGCCCCGGGGGCTGACGGGTCAGGGTGTGTGTGTGTGTGTGTGTGTGTGTGTGTGTGTGTGTGTGAGACTTTCATACTCCTGCCTTTCACCAAATCCCAGTGCAGAGATAAAACCAATTTACACACCAGGAGCATCGGCACACTTCTGTCATCCCTGACACTCAAGAGGCTGAGGTGGGGGGTCACAACTTCACAGGCAGTCTGGGCAACTCGGCAAGAAGACTTCTGCTCACAGCGGGGCTCTGCGGGTACAGCTCAGGGGTAGAGCTCTTGCCTCACGTGACTCCCCAGGTTCCCCAGCACCCCAAAAATTTAAATTAAAAAAAGAAACCAAATGAAAAGAAAAAAACTCTCCACATTTCTATTCCTACCCTGAGGAGACTAAACCCCTAGGTCTCTCTCTGCACGAGATTAAACCTCCAGGGTCTCTGCCAACTCCACAGACACAGGCGCCAGCACACTTCAGGCTGCTTTGTTTTGTTTTTTGGGGACAGGATCTTGCTAGGGAGCCCAGGCCGGCCTCCCAGGCATGCCTAGCACATCTGGCTGTCCCTCCGGCTCCGGACCCTCACGAGTCCATGCTACACTAGACAATAAAGCACCATGACCCCAACCATCCCTGTCCCCCGTCACGAGATGCCACTCAGCTCCCAAGTCTGCCGGAGACCCAGGATGAGCCACGTGGCCTCGGCATCCCAGCTCCCCCTGCTGTCACCTGTCCGAGGCTCCTTGCCAGCCAAGGGACAGTGGCCCTGTCTTCCTTCCACGCCCCTCTTCTGCGCTGGGCCAGGGCAGCAGCCACCCTGACACGAGGGAGCCACTGGGCCTCAGCTAAGGGCTGCGACCCTGCATGGCCTGGGCTGGGAGCTGCCAAGGCCTTCGCCTGTCCTGATGGAGCTGGTGGCCCTTCCTTCCCTGTGCCTCCCCTCCACTCAGTGAGGGTCTGCAGACACAAAGCAGAGCACGCACCTGTGAATCCAGCACCTGGGAGGCTGAGGCAGGAGGATCTCAAGTTTGAGCCCAGCCTGGGCAACTTTGCAACCCAACAAGACCCTGACTCCAAGTAAAAGATGACCAAAGGACTGAAGGTGTCGGCCCTGGCTCCATTTCGGTGCCACAGTGGGGAAAAATGACGACGAGGAGGAGGCGGCACCAGGTCCAACAGCGCCCTGCAGCACTGCTAGGGTGGCCGCGGGGTTCTGGCCCTGTCGGCGCAGCGGGGATTGGTTTCCCCTGGCAAACCCCAGGCCTCTCGCTCAGTGCTGAGACAGGGCAGATGTCTCCCTGGGACCCCTACTGCAGCAGAACAGCTGGGAGAGGGCAACACACCTGAAATACCAGGACTGGGGAGGCTGAGGCGGGAGGATCTCCGTGGGCTCCAGGCCAGCCTGGTCTACAAAGTGAGACCCTGTCTCACAAAACAAAACAAACCCCGCCGAACAGCTGCATCTTTCCTGGAGCTGGAGGTCGGGCCCAAGGGCGCAGATGCGGCAGACCAGACCTGGCTGCTGGAGGACGGGTGAGCAGAAGCCCGGAGCGGAGGGGCAGCGCCTGGGACCCAGCTTCTGGGCCCCAGCTCTGGGGTGCGCACTGCCTGGGGTGACTGGGGCACCGCCAGGACGGAAGGCACCGCCTGCAAGAGGCGGTGAGAGGCTGAGGCAGGAGGGTCCACGGCCTGAGCCCCGCCTGAGCAGCTCGGGGAGGCGCCGGGGCGCAGTGCCAAGGGCCCGGCTTCCTACCCGGCGGAGCAGAGGTAAAGTGGGGCTGCCCGCTCGCCCGGCCCGGCCCCGACGCCCCGCGCGCACCTGATGTAGGGCAGGAAGGGGTCCACGTGCCCGGCCAGCACGGCCACCACGTAGGAGATGAGGAAGGCGGCGGAGGACCAGGTGGCCAGCAGGAAGGGCACGAAGCCCAGGCCGCGCGGGGCGCAGCGCATGGCGGCGGCGAGCCGGAGGGAGGCGGCGGCCGTGAGGTCACAGAGCGCGGCGGGCGGCGGGGCCCCAGCCCCGGCCCCAACCCCGGCCCGGCCCGGCCCGGCCCCGCCCGGCCTTGCGCAACTCCCCGCCCGCCCGCCCGCCGGCCCTGGCGCCGATCGCGCCGGTCGCCCAAAGTCTGGCTAAGTCCCGCGGCTGCCAGGCCACGCTGGACCTCGCCACCCTCCTGCCTCGGCCTCCCACGGGCGCCCGCATCCCGGGATCAGACCTCCCTTCACGGGCTCCGCCCCCAACCCGCCCCCCTCTGCGGCGTCCAGGGCGCCGGTGCCCTCTGCGCCCTCCCCGGGGCGGGAGTCCAGAGGAGGAATCCGGAGGCGGAGAGTTCCTGAGGCTGGCGGGGTGGGCTTGGGGATGAGGGTGGGCTTGGGGATGAGGGTGGGCGTGGGGTGGGGGTGGAACTCAGTGCGTCCCTGCCTTTTTAAAACTTTCTTTATTGAACCGCGCGTGGTGGTCACCCCTGTAATCCCATCACTCTCGAAGCCAGGGGGAAGCAGGAGGACCTCGGAGAGTTCAAATCCTGCAAACTGTCTGGAGACCCCCATCTCAAAAACAACAGGTGGGGCGTGGTGGCTCACGCCTGTAAGCGCAGCTCGTCTGAGGCTGAGGCAGGGGGCTCCTTGCAAATTCAAGACCAGCCTGGGCTATAAAGTAAGCTCAAGCCTGCACTGCCCAGTGTGACCGTGACCAGAAAAAGGGCTGGTGACTTAGCTGGGTAGTGTAAGCACCTGCCTGGAAAGTGTGAGGTCCTGAGTTCAATCCCCAGTACCAAGAATCAGAAGGGGTACAGGGAGGGAAGGAGAAGAAAAAATTCAGAGAGATGGGGTCTAACATGCTCAGGTTAGTCTACAATTTGAGACCCTCCTGCCTCTTCCTCCCAGAGTGCTGAGATTTCAGGCCTGCAGCACTGCACCCCAAGCTTAGGGATTGTGGAGCCCCGAGTCTATCTTTGACTCCGGGCACATTTCAGCTACACCAAACACTTACTTCCAGGCAGCCAAGATTAAGTAGCAGCATCCAAGGCTGGTTGGCTATACTCCCAGCACTCAGGAGGCTGAGGCAGGAAGATCACAGGTTCGAAGCCAGCCTGGGCAATTTAATGAGGTCCTGGGTGACAATAAAGGCCCTGTGGCTGCCTGGATCTTCCAGTGCTGACAATCAAGATCTATTTTCCAGCAGGGGTGCAGGGGCCCTCAGGCTCCCAAGCCCCTCAAACAGCCCCGCAGGGCTCCTCCCTGTGTAATCCAGGCGGACACCAGCCCAGCTG